TTGGTTGGTGGGGAAACACCCCTTCCCTATGCATTTTCTAATGGCCATAGATTCGCGCTGCTGCACTGTATGAGTCCCACAGAATAGCAGTCATTGTTAGGGAGTTTCGTCATACTTTCCTGGATTTCAGCACGAGTTTTAACGTGATTAGGTAAGAGCGTGGAGTTTCGTCTAGCACGCTGTTTGCCTTTCGCTGTCTCTGTCAGATTTTGAATATTAAATCCGAGCCACCTTGGTGGCTACCACTATCATTTTACTATCTACCAAGCGTTTACTGCTCCGATTGATTGAGTACCTGGCTGCCAGAAAAGCAATGCTTACTTAGCGGCATGCATCATGTCTTATTCGACCTCTTCTGGGCTGCAAGTTCACGGCCAGTCGGCGACAGAGTCGCGCGCAAAGTTGAACGCGTTCGCACGCCTCCTCGAGTTCACCCTTACCTTTTGCCATCCACGTATTCAGTTGCTCACCTCGACACCGTCACCAGTCAGGATGGGATTATGTTGACATGCCTCTTCAATGAGCTCTCCCTTCAGATCGGCGCAATACAGGGGGTAGAACTATCCCTAAGTCAGCCTTTAAGGGGGTATGAAGTGGCAAGTAGAGTGCATAAACAGTTAAGTAAACGTTGGCTGGAAACTCAATCGGGGATTGAAGTGCGCACCGTTGATCGGTCGGTTGTTTTCCACAGTATTGAGGGGCTGTCTTGTCAAAAGTCTATTTTATTCGCCTTTTGGTTTTCAGGTTCATTTATTGTTGATTGCAGGATTTCTGATGAAGTTGTATGAAGTCCGCACGCGCGCGCGTTTGGTTGATTCGATGACCAATTTCGTCTTCCCCTTGTCCATTTTGTATGGTTTAGAGTGGCAGAAGCTGCCCACTGACTGAAGAGGTCTACCGTGGCCTAGTAGACGGCACGATACAGTCATTTTTTGAAACTGATTTTGAAGCCGACTGTTTTAAAGTCTCTTTGGGATACAGGGAAGCGGGGTTTTGCGAACAACTGCGTAAATATCGCAACATAATTATCGGAATTCATATTTCGTATAAACTAAAAGGCAGGCATCCCAAGAAATGTAATTGCCCAAATGTAATTTCCCAAAGGACGCCTTTCCTTGAATTCATATTTGTTAGGCAATGACTACGACTTAGTGTAATTTCGAGTTGTGCCGCCAGGGCACGCTAAAGAAGCCAAGCGGTCGCATAATTAAACAGAAGGTGTGAGAAGGCACCGATCTGACAGATACCGGGTTTTATATCAAAGCGAACGCTCAAATAGCTTTCAGTTTTTATCTGTGGTTATAGGTTTACGTCGTTCGAAGTGACTTTAATGTCATGTCATCGTACAGCATGATCAACCACAGGTAATTCCGAGGAACAACTCCAAAGTAAGAAGCTAAGGCCATAAAAAAATGAAAACGGCCTATCATTAGCATTTATCATGCCGATAAGATGATCTAAATGCTGGCTGAAAGCCGGGCTGGTACAAGCGGACGCGATTGAGGAAAAGGACTTTGAATATTGCCGGTAGTTTTAAGGAGACCACTGTCACAGTAGTTAGTACACAACGATTTGTCATTCTTATTAAATATCCACGTAACAGCCATATCACTCTGGTCTGTGGACACAACCCTTCTTTCTTCCTACTTTAAATCGGAACGTCGTTTGGCTGGTCGACTGTTTCTGCCCAATACTACTTACAGGTTTCCATCAAAGGATAGCTCTTGTCCGATTATTTCCTAGTCTGCAGTCTTGTTAGTATTCTAACAGTCTTCCGCAGATGGTGGATTGTAATGGCAGTTATTTTCCAGCCCTCCAGAGTCCCCAAGCTGAATTGCAGCTGGTGGGCTCAAGTTGGGCAGAATGCGTAGTCCATGAGAGACTCGTGTGGGTGTGTCCAGATGACGCATTTCACTTTTATTGTCTCGGAGTGATGCTGCAAGTGGGTTACAATCGCGCCAACCACCTGCGCCCTCTGCCGCCTCCTGTCTTCTTTTCTCTGTTTTGTCGCTAACGTGTGTTTACCGTAATTACGTTTTAGTCAGTAATATTCGGTGGTTTAAGTTTTTACTTCGCCATATTAAACTGTGGCTAAAAGTCTCTGTGGTATTGGGCTACACCTTCTTTGTGACTCTGAGCATGAAAATGTTGTTTGCATTATACATTTTTCTGCCTTTAAGGTGACTATTGTGAATGGCAATACCATAGCCACTTCGGCGACCACCTAACTCCCCGCCCGCGTCTGGCTCAACCCCCCCTGCACTCGAAAAAAACGCCTATTTTCCGCCGACATTTTGGGGAGTCGTTTGTAGGCAGATGCCGCCCCCGCTGAACTGGTTTTTTTTTCTCTCTCTCTCTCTCTGTCTATTCCACGCCCGCACGCCCGAATCTTCGTTTGCATCCACTCCCACATCAGCTGTTGTTAAAACCCCCACCCCACCCCGCCCGCCCTCTCTTTTTTACCTTTTTCGGACCTCGCGCCGTAGCAAACATTCACGTCGACACTGCCCCGAGGTTCAAACGACGCTGTCATTGTTTTATGCCATCCATGTTTAATCTATAGTATGTTTACATTCAATGTCTTCTCGTCATTCAGCCCTGGCCTCAAAGTCGACCCACTCAATCGTTCATCCTCCGGTGAAGGCGTGTGTATGTGCGTTTGTGACGAGACCGAGACCCCCTTTCGCCTAACGTTGTATTTCATTACTCACGGTACTGTGAGCTGCATAGGCTTCTCACGACGCGCTAATATCCATGACTCGGAAAGCTGCCATCTGACGACGAGATAAGTTGGTTCTACTGAAGAGCAAACTGCATATGCTCCTTACTTTGGTCCTGGTGGCACTCGCACGTTTGCAAACCGAGACCTGTTACTTGAAGTCTGTTCATATCGAGCTAGGGGGTCAGGTCTTGACTAGCTCTTTAGCTTTATCAGCCAGTACGCTTAAGGCTGCTTCTGATCGTCATTCCACTGGAACACGGTGCAAGTGGAAGGAGGGGACGAGGTAGATGCAGTGCAAGTCTGCAGCCTTATAAACGCATTTAGTCACAATTAGTGATTGCGCCAACCTAACGCAACGATGGTGCCTTTCATCCAGTGGGCTATCGTGTGTGCAGATGGTACCACCAACCTTGAGTACTAGTGGAGATATTACACACTCCCGTATCCGTTGCCTGACCCGCATTCTTATATCATCTAGTCCAAGTGGTCTAATTGGTTGATTCGTCTGCGATTTGGCTGACCTGACTGGCTCTGATTCCCTACCTCTTCGCTTAGTGCATACCCAAGGTTAGATAGCCGTTTTTTGGCTGTCAGCTTTTGTGTTATGTACTTACCACGGGCTACAAATGGTCTGTGATGGCGCAGGCCTCCTTCCACCACTATTTAGTATTCGAAAACAACGCATATTTTATTACTGCCCTAGGCCTTTCTAGCGGTCGTCATGTTTATAGGTGAACGACGTCCGCGTAGGAATTTGAGGATTCAACTGCAGATTCACCTTCTTTAGACTACCACTACCGGCTGTTTGCGTTCTACTTCTTCCATATTCAGCGCCGAAAAGTGCCTTTTATCGGGGACGTCTGCTTCATGGCGAGGGTGTGCTATTTGGGACCTGATAGAAGATCCTAGGACTAGAGTCGGGTACTTCTTTTTACCATTTCTTTTGAAGCTACATGAGGCTCCCCTAGAAAGAGTGGCATCTGGTCGACAATTAACTCTGTAAAGGCACTGCCCAATTGCTTTTAT